TGCTCCCCTTTGTAAGCAGCACCCTTATTTTTATCATCTCCCAAAGGTCCACAAATCATTAGATCATCCACCAGAAAGACTTATAGTAGCAAAGTACTAATAGTTTTAATAATGGTCTATCCAAGTATATTGATTATTTTCTACAACCAAAGGTTTGCCAACTTCCATTGTTTATCAGAGACTCAGGGCATGTCATTGAAGTTTTAAAACATTACAACTAGGAAGAGGGCAACAATTGGGCCTCTTTAGGTGTTTTATTCTCTGTATACATCTATTCCTCACAAAGTCGGTTTATCGGCACTCAGTATTTGTCTGCCAATTCTATAATATGAATTTTAGGCCGGACCAATTTTTAGTAGACAGTACTGAGTTTTGTTTGAAACACAATTATTTCACTTTTCTAGACCAACGGCACAGTGATGGTGCCAATTTTGCCACAGGATATGCCAATCTAGCAATGGGCTTAATACATTTGGGCCAACAATCCCTTCACCAGATACATTGTTTTTACGGATGATATATCGATATTTTTATATTTACCCCAGCTCCCCAGGTCAACTTTAAAAGGGCGCGCACATTAAAAAATATTTTAGCCCCTAGCAAATTATCAAGAAGGATAAAGAGGGACATGAATATTCAATCCTACTTTGATAATAGGACCGGAATCTTTCAGTGTAAGAAGAGAGGTTGCCTTGTCAATTCATTACACCTGGTCATTCTGAAATAATGGACAACAAAGGTAACCCTTTTCAGATAAAAATTCATAACATGTGAGACTGACTTTGTAATATATGTACTCTCATGTCCATGTAAATTATTGTATATAGGTCGCACCTTATGCCCTTTACGGAAGCGTGTTGGGGAACATTGTAGGCTTATCAAGGATAGAAGTGATAAGCAGTGTTACACTTCCCTCAAGCCCAGTGTAAGAATTTTCGGTGTCTTGAAGTCATGGCAATTGAACACATTGAGAAAAGATCTTTGACAAATAAAATATTCTCTCTTATGTAAGAGAGAGAAGTTCTGGATCTTTAAATTAGGCTCAATGTCCCCCATTGGTCTTAATGAAGAACTTGAGATACACAGTATCGTTTCAATCTGATTTATATCAGATATTGGATTTATTTTACATTATTTGATCTTTTGTGTTAATTATGTAATTTTATCTATATATTCTATTCATAGGTTTATATCTTTTGTTGTGGAATTCTGTGATTTAAATCAATGATCCAATGCTGATGAACATAAGTAGTATTTTATTTGTGTAATTTATGAGTTTTATTATATTTATTATTAGTTTTATGGTATATTTTACAATGTTTTTCACATGGGTGCAAATATATATATATTTTTACCCTAAATAGTATATTGCAATATAACATTGGACCCTGCAAGTGTATCAGCATAATTCAAAGGGAATGTCTGCTCCAGCTCCTCCCCTGATTGATGCTGGCCCACTTGTTCAGTCCAACTATATAAACAAAGCTGGTAACCACTGATCTCCTAGACTTGACAAAGCGCATGCGCGCAAAATACATGGTCATGGTTATCAGCCAAGCTTGCAGTCCATACCCAGCGCCTGACTTCCGCTTCCTCCCCAGTTGTTGTGACGGTATCCCTGGCTGGGACAGCAAGAAACTGTGTTTACCATCACTTCCTGGCCTGTAGACATAGGTGAGCGGACATTACACCTTGTTGTGCCTTGGCTATACAGCCTTGTTTTGGATGATTTCTGGATGAATTTTAATTTCATGAAGTCTGTACAAAATAAAAGCATACCCCTTATGGAATCAATGTGGGGCTCATATTGATTTAAATAAGTTTCCTCAGCGCTGGTTTTTTTTGTATTTATTCACCACTTTTCCCCAGTGTGACATTAGCAGCAGTGGGCAAGTGGCCCCCATACATCTGGGTCTTAGCACTTGGACCTCTTTCTGCTCTTTGTGTCTAAAAGACACACAGAAGTGGCTTGGGAGCAAACACTTTTTTCCGGGGAGGGACCCAGGAAGAAGAGGATCGGGGCAGCTCTGTGCAAAACCATTACACAGAACAGGCAAGTATGGCAAGTTATTAAAAAAGTGAACCTTTATGATCGATTTGATAATTATGCTACCAAAATTAGTGTGTGCTGTAAATTGCTTCCAGCATTGCTCCTTTCTTTTTGCTGGAGGCTGCCATTTTTCTGAGGCCCAAAGCCTGTGAGCAGCAGTAAATCTCTTGGGTGTCAGCAGATCTGCCTCAACATTTTCGGCACAGTGCGAAAAAATAGAGGCAACTGAGTATGTACAGAGCAGAGTGAGACAATGTATTACTGGATTTTAAACAGTATTTATTATTATATTATTATACAGTATTTATAAAGCGCCAATAGTTCACTCAGCGCTGTACATTACAAAGGGGGACAGAACATGTGACAGAACAATACCAATACAATGCAAAACATGAGGGGATCGAGGGCCCTGCTCTTTCGAGCTTACAATCTAGAAGGGATGGGATAGTGGTACAGGAGGAGATAGCTGTGGGGGATGGAGTGGTAGGAAGAGTGGAGGAGGTCAGCAAGTTAGCAGGGGGTGAGGTAGGCTTCCCTGCAGAGATGGGTTTTCAGGGTGCGCCTAAAGGAGAGGAGAGTAGGTGATAATCTGATGGGTTGGGGCAGGGAGTTCCAGAGGATGGGTGACACCCTGGAGAAGTCCTGGAGGCGGGCATGGGAGGAGGAGACCAGGGAACTAGAGAGAAGGAGGTCTTGTGAGGAGCGGAGTGTGCGTGTTGGGCGGTACTTGGATATTAGGTCAGTGATGTAGTTCGGGGCAGTATGGTGGACAGCTTTGTACGTCAGTGTTAGGATTTTAAATTTGATCCGTTGCGCAATCGGAAGCCAGTGGAGGGATTGGCAGAGGGGGGTGGGCGGAAATGGAGCGGTTGGAAAGGTGAATGAGTCTGGCAGCCGTATTCAGGATCGACTGAAGCGGGGATAGCCAGCGGCGAGGCAGGCCAGTGAGGAGGGAGTTGCAGTAGTCGAGTCGTGATATGATGAGGGAGTGGATGAGCTGTTTAGTGGTTTCTGGGGTTAGGAACGTGCGGATTTTGGCGATGTTGCGGAGGTGGAGTCTGCACGAGTTTGTTAAAGATTGGACTTGGGGCTGGAAGGATAGGTTGGAGTCCAGAATGACACCAAGTACTCTGGCCTGCAGAGCGGGGTTTTGATATTGGCGTTGTTGGATGTGATGTAGAAGTCAATGGGGGGTGGGGTTCGGGCTGGGGGGAAGACAAGGAGCTCGGTTTTGGAGAGATTCAGTTTAAGGAAGTGGAGCGACATCCAATCTGATATGTCGCTCAGTAGGTGTGTGATTTGGGCAGAGACCGAAGGGGTGAGGTGGGGGGTTGAGAGATAGATTTGTGTGTCGTCGGCATAGAGGTGGTAGTTGAAGCCGTGAGAGTGTATGAGTTGGCCAAGGGAGGAGGTGTAGATGGAGAAGAGAAGGGGCCCAAGGACAGAGCCTTGAGGGACCCCAACAGAGAGGGGGAGTGAGGGGGAGGTGGTAGCATTATAGGTAACGCTGAAAGAGCGTTGTGACAGGTAGGATGAGAGCCAGGAGAGAGCAGAATCTCTGAGGCCGAGGGAGTGTAGTATATTTTGAGGAGGAGGGGGTGGTCAACTGTGTCGAAGGCCGCAGAGAGGTCAAGGAGTAGGAGCACTGAATAGTGGCCATTAGCTTTGGCGGTTAGAAGGTCGTTGGAGAGTTTGAGTAAGGCGGTTTCGGTGGAGTGTAGGGGCGGAAGCCAGACTGTAGGGGATCGAGGAGGTTGTTGTCGTTGAGGTGAGAGCATAGGCGGGTGTAGACGAGACGCTCGAGGAGTTTAGATGTAAGTGGGAGCAGGGAGATGGGTCTGAGGACACTTATTTTTAATGTTACATAGATATACCTGCAAAAGGGTCCAGCATGAAGTGATCAAGCAGGACCTAATTTTCTGACTAAGGCTCCACTTAAAGCCTAGGTTCACACTATGGATTGCTTAGGAATCGCATAGGAATGTGCACTGCATTTCTGTGCAGTGCAATTTGAGCCCATTCATTTTGAATAGAATCAGATCACACCACTTTGGGAACACACTGCAATGGTAGTTTTGTACCATGATATCTGTTGCAGGGAAACCAACATTTGGGGGTGTTAAGACTGCACTGACACCTGCTGCAGATCGCAAGGACAGTGTATTTTGAATGCAGTGCATGAAACATGCATAGATCACAGGTTTCCATGGCTAACGTTTTCAGCAATTTGATCTTCAGGAGCTTTTCCTTTGGATGGGACTACACAGAGGAAACTTTGCTCCCCAAGACCCTGCCCCCAGTCTCCCGTCCCTGAACCAATGCAGACCAGGAACATCCCACAAGAGCTTGAGCTGCTCTGCACAAGTCGTCGAGCCATTACAACTTGGCCTCTATGCCAGAGTCACTCAGATCCTTACACTTGTCTGGTTTTCTAACTTAAGGGACAACATGCTCATTTGCTGCCTGATGTATCCCACTCACTTTCAGAGGCCATTGTAACGAAATAATCCATGTTACTCACTGTACCTGGCAGTGCTGCCAATGTTAAGGCTGACCGATGCATATTGTTTTCAATCTCGTCTTTACATAAACTTGAATGCAATTGCCAAGCGATGCTGCTTTTTCTAAAGTGTCAATTCCATTATTATGTACAATGCCGACATACCGCGCAATGGAGCGTACCACACATTACACATCCGTATCATTCAATGTCACGTCCTGTACCTGTTATCGAACTCAGCTAACAGAATCCCTTTTGAAACAGACACAATCCCGCGCTGGTGTGACTTAAGCTCGCGATAACACAACCACAATGAAGTTATTGGATATGACGTCACGTGGCCGGACGGCGCTCTCGCACCGGAAGTTAATGGTGTTCTGGGATATGTAGTTTCCGTTGTACATCTTATTGGGTCCCTCGTACATCTGAGAACGGTCTGCACTTGCAGTGATGCCTGGCTTCACCTGCTGTGTTCCGGGTTGCTATAGCAATTCACACCGAGACAAAGGTCTGCACTTTTATACGTTCCCCAAAGATCCGGAGCTGCGACACCTGTGGCTGAAGAACGTGTCTCGGGCTGGAGTGACGGGCTGCTTTAACACTTTCCAGCCCACTAACGGCCACCGGGTGTGCAGCCTTCACTTCCACGGTGGGCGCAAGTCGTACAGCATCAGGGTGCCGACAATATTCCCTCTTCGGGGAGTGAACGAGAAGAGACCGCGCAGGGGCAGTCCGGGAGACAAAACCAAGAAGAGGCATCAGCCGAATTACTCCACAGCGGTCCTGGTGACGTCACTGCCAGGACAGGAGCAGGAGGTGCTGGAGCTGACAGCCGGAGGTGCGGAGATGATGCTCATAGGCACCTCACCTGGCATGGGAGCAGATATGAGCGGCGTAGACTTGTCTCCCCCTTCCATAGGAAGATCCCCGACTGGAGGAGCAATCCACGCAGAAACCAACCCAGTCAATCTCACCGTCAAGCTGGATTCTGAAGGAGGACCAGCTTTTTCTCCTGCAACTTCTCATCAGCAACTCCAAGTGGTAGTGGTGGGAGAAGAAACCTATCCCATGCCCGAATATTACCCATCGCCGCAGTTCGCGGACCATTCCTACTCCATGTCTTCTAGCACCACCACAGAGGAGCTGCTGAGAAAGCTCAATGAACAGCGAGACATTATAGCCCTTATGGAGGTGAAAATGAAAGAGATGAAGTCCAGCATCAGACATTTACGAATCACAGAGGTAAAACTGAGGGAGACAGAAAGATAAAGTTTTAAATGCCACTAAGAAAAAAGCTTAAGTAGCAAATGGTTTTCCAGCTCGGACAGGAATTCTCATTTATCACAAGCAAATATCATGAAATGTACTTGTTGAATGTGATATTGCTACGAAGACTTGTACTATCCAATTTGTTTGAATGGAAAGTGTTGGACGCAAGGATTCTGAACGATAAATTTCTGCATTGATATTCTCACAATCCATTTGTTTTTCAGGTTTTTGAAACCTTTACACGTTTTTACGTGTATATCCTGTAAAGCTGTCTCAAATAAAAGGTGTTTGTATTTTAGGTTTACTTTCCATTTCCAGCAACTCTATAGAAAGCTGTTGACATCGATATTAGCGTGCTTCACCAAACTGGTAGAAAATAAATGTTACAAAAAAAATCTTTTGCTCAGTACAGTCTGCCTTTTGAAGATGTGTTACTTTTCAGTCTGATCACATAGTTTTCAATTCTTTTTGAGTAACACAGAAAAAGAGTTCAGACAATAAAGTTGGAGCTAGTAATCCCCATACTTGTTCCATGTCAGTGAATCCAAAAGTACATTATATCAGCAAGATACACAGGTAACTAAAATTTAAGGAGTAAAGCAATGAAAGCCTCCATGTTTTTTCTGGAGAGGTTTCACAACAGTGATATTAAAAGTTCAGGGTTTTTTTAATCACTTTCAGCAGCTGATTGAAAGCAGTAGCAAACTAAGAAAAAAAAAACCCTGCAAGAACATGGCATAACGTGCTAGTATGCATCGCATACTGGCACATTATGTGAAACTGGCCTTAAAAGGAAGCCCTCCAGCAGCATGCTGTCACAGCTGACAGAGCTTCCATCTTCACCCGGTCCTTCTAGTAAGCGGGCTCCGGCAGCTAGAATGGCCGAGCCGTGATGGCGTCACTTCTGTGTATGAGCACAGGAGTCACTTTTAATGGCACACAGCTCTGAAGGAATGGCACAGTCATGCCATTCCTTCAGAGCACTTGCGTTCATGTCTGTTACAGGTAAATCTCTCCAGTGCACGATTGGGAAATATTTACAGGTAAGCATTATAGCCTTACCTGTAGGTACAAGTGAAGAAAAATCGACTTTGCTACCACTTAAATCACTTACTATGAAGCTTCTTTATCTTTTAAAGTGGAATTTTACTTTCTCAATCAACATCATGTTAAATCCTTATGCTGCTAACATTAGTAAATAGATAGGAAAGTATATTATATTTATTTGTTTTAAACTTTTTTTTTTTTTTTTTTACTTCAGTTACTTCCTGGTTCTTTTGCCTAGGTAAATTATGTCTTACATCCCAGGAGTCTTCAGGAGGGGAGGAGGGTTTTCTCAGCTAAGGACAGATGGATTCCAGGAAGTAAATGCTAGGATATTCAGCTGTCCTTACTCAACATGGTTTTTCAAAGTGATTTTGCAGCAAAATAAAGCATTGAGACATGGATGGATGTGTTTGCTTTGGATCTTTAAAATTAATTAATAGTGTATTTGATTTGTGCTTCTCAGAAACAGTGTAGTTCCGCATTAACCCTGGACTATGTTCCAGTTTAAGCTGGTGACATGATTGCTGCTCCGGGTTTTCTGTTTCAAGATGGCCCCTTTCTCTTGCATGCAGGGACTACAGTTGTCTCCCTACGTAGTGTCCCATCAATAGAAATACATAACAACAGAGAGGAAGAGCTGCAAACTGCAAGTGCTGGGGTAAAAATTTAACAAAGGGGGAAATTTACTAAAACTGGAGCACCCAGAATCTGGTGCAGCTGTGCATGGTAGCCAATCATCTTTTAACTTCTGCTTCTTCAGCTAAGTTTTGACAATAAATCCTGGAAGCTGATTAGCGTCTATACAGATCTGCAGCAGATTTTGCACGCTCCAGCTTTAGCAACTCTCCCCCCATAGTGTTCTTAGGAATGTGTATTTTATTGTGTTCAATGTGTTGAGCTAAAAAATGCTGAGGGCCTAGAATATCAAATACGTAAGTAATAATCCATCAAACATTTTGTTATGCATATATATATATATATATATATATATACACACAGTAGAAATATTTAAAGCACACCTGTGGGTTCCCCTTAGCTGGTAAAGTGGCCCAGGCCATTAGAGCAGATGCTTCCTTGTGCCTAAAGGCATATGTAAATTACTTCCTGAGTGTTCTGGAATCCCCAAAGTTTAGAACAAGTTGGACAGGTGGTGTCATATTTGTGCTCTGGTATGTCCCACACTTTTTATTGGCCCTTGAGGCCATCTCTTATTGCTTTTTTATGTCTTTTTGTTTTGAACAGTAGAGAAGGATAAGGCTCTGTCTTTGAGGAAAGTGTGTGTGTGTGCACGCATTCTCAAATCTGGGTCCTTTCCCTGTTCCCGAGGGTGGTCCCCATTTTATGGCATACCAAACTGGAGCCAAAGTGCTCAGTGACAATTTCAGTGACCCTTAGACAATCTGAATCCAGCGCCCCCTTTGTTCTTGTGTTTACACAAAAATTAAACTGCCAGGGGTTTTAGCACTACCCTAGTCACTAATTGGATGTCCTGAAAGTAATCTGCAAATGGTTAAAGCTGTCTGCTGATCGGGCATAGGGCCACTTTAATAAGCTAGGTTTTATTTTAAACAATCCTATGGTCTTGTGTGTTTTCTTTTTTAATTTGTGCTCAAAGGAAATCTGTTCTGATGCAAAAACATCTGTGTGATATGGAAGGCACTAATCTTTCTTCTGTGCTGCTGTATACTAGTCTTCCCTTAGTATGACAACACATTAGGTGTATATATTTTTAATGATTGTTATTCCTTTGCTCTGCCTTTTTGTTTTGATTTGGAACACACTGCAATACTATCAAAGGTTTATTTTCATACTCTGGGTCTTGTCACCGGGGGCTATTTATGTTTACAGTTGATAATTATTATTACTGGTTCATGAATCAACATTTAGGCTCCATTCACACTTGTGCTACTTCAAAGTCGCACAATTTCCAGGGTGACTTTGATCTGACCTTACATTCTCTGACACTAAGTCGCATCAAACTAGTGCAGGAAACTTTTCAAAGTCGCTGCATAGATCCGAACAGGTGCCATTGAAAACAATGGGCTGTAACTTGTCATGTAATTTTATGTGTCCAAGGTCCCATGGCAAGTTGCACAAGTGTGAATAGAGCCTTATTGTGATTTAGAACACACTGTTTGGGGTTTTTGTTTACACCTTTTTAGTTGGGATTTTCATATCATAGTTTTATACCTTTTTGTAGGTTTCTACCTTGTTTGTTTTTTTTCTTGTCTGCTCTGTATAGTTTTCTTATTATTGTCACTCTATCTTTATGAATGGATGCAGTACATTTATGAAGCATTAGTTTCCTTTACCGATGACTATTCCCATCTTGTTAAGCTCAAAGCAGAAAACAAATAATCCTGCAGACAGTGCTCCCCTGTGATCTGGCGGTTGCCTGTCCATTGGCATCCTCACATCCAGAGCATGGCTATGGACTCTGCTCTGGACTTAATTACATCAAGACCCTAGACCACTAGAATGCTGGGCTCTAGTCTAGGGAGGAGCAAGCGGAGAATATGGTAAATACAGGCGGTCTTCAAAAAGTTTCTGCACTTTTATAAATCTATATATATATATTTAAAGAAGTGCAGAAACATTTTGAAAAACCCTCCTATATTTCCTTTCATTGTAACCCTAGACTTAAGCAATTAAACCTTGCAATGCGTGCACAGCCCCACTGCAAAGAATAACTTTTTGTTTGCCCGGAGTTGGGCTTAAATAATTTTCCAAGGTATGTTGGTGAAGAATATATGTATTTTTGTTAACATTATATGGTGTCATCCATCTTATCACCAAAACACCTACATTTTTGTATCCCACTCAAGAAAAGTTAGGAGTGCAATTGATACATTTATTTTCTGGTTTCGAGGCAGTCACATCACCTCCAATTAAAGTGATTCTAAGGCTTATTGTTTTGTAAGAAAAATAACAAATGTGTCATACTTGCCTGCTGTGTGCAGTAGTTTTGCACAGAGAAGCCTGGATCCTCCTCTCCTCTGGTCCCCCGCAGGCTCTCCTGGCTCCTCTGTCCTGTCGGGTGTCCCCACAGCAAGCAGCTTGGTATGGGGGAACCCACTGCTCCGTGTATCCATTCACACACGGAGTCGCGGCTCGGCCCAGCCCCCTCTCTCTTCTCATTGGCTCACTGGCTGTGATTGACAGCAGTGGGAGCCAATGGCTCCCACTTCTGTCTCAGCCAATGAGAAGAGGGAGTCCTGGGATAGCCAAGACTCCAGTGCACAATTTTGGATCGAGAGGGGGGTTTTGGAGAGTATTAGGGGGGCTGGGGGGGATGTTGCAAACAGGTTTTTTACCTTCATGCATAGAATGCATGAAGGTAAAAAAAACCTTGAGCCTTTACAATCACTATAAACTACTTAAATGCAGTTAATCACACACGTTTTTGCTTTGTGATAGTTTCCTTAAATTAAGACCTCTTAATGCTGTTCTTAAAGAAAAAGTCAAACTGCTTTTAGAATGCTAATACTATTTCCATTGTCTGTCTATTGAAACTAAAGAAAACATTTGTTCATATAGGACTTTGAATAGACAGTGTATGTTATGCTATAATGACATTTGTTTGAATAAATTGGAAAACATGGAAGGCAAAAGATCAGTGATAAGTGCTTGGATAAAATTCACATCCTTTTTTTTTTTTTTTTTTCTTTTCTTTTTTTTTTTTAATAAAGCATTCTTTAAACACTTTTTCTGATGTACTGATTTCTCAATTTTTTTTTATCCGCTTGCCAAAAATACATAGTTTAATTGCAAATAGACTAATTTAATTAAAAACATTATATCAGAGGACCTATGGAACAAAAAGATAGTAGTAACAAGTGTTTATGCTGCACAAATGGCTATGAAACCTATATTGTTAGTAAAAAAATAAAGTAAAATTTTATTGCACAGGTACAATCTATAAATTATTCACAAGACTGTATCTAAGGCCAACAACAAAAATGTATTATATATTTTTTTAAACAT